TCATCTTACATTGGCTAAAATAATAGATGCCCTTCAATTGGGGAATAACTAAACAAGTTGTGGTATATGATTGTAATGGAAAATATTACTGTGATATAAGCAATGATGAGCTAGTTAATTTTAGAAGAACATGGAAAGACTTAGACCTATGAAAGAAGATACTACTCCCCTCCAGAGAAAGAATTAACAAATAGAAATATGTGTAGCATGGTCTTACATATATGTATATGTGTGTGTGTGTGTATATATATATATATATATATATATATATATATATATTCATGTCTAATTGTAGCATTCTATAAGGCAGGATGGGGAGAGAGGAAGAAAAAAGTACACAGCAGAGAACAAAAGAAAACTTGGAAACACAGAAAAACTGGGTAGCTTTGAAAACAATGTGTAGTACTTATTACATTGTTTTTCCAAAAAAAAGTAAACAGTTTGAAATGGAAATTTATTGTTTTATATTGGATCTTCTTTTACTGTTCTGCTGTGTATGCATAAATGTTCCTTTTTTTCTTGTTTTATATTTAAGTTCAAAGTGAATTTTTTTTTTAAAAAAATTTTCTAAGTCTTCTCCAGTGCCATAATTCAAAAGCATTGATTTTGCTCACTCAGCTTTCCTAATAGTCCAAATCTCACAGCCATACATTGCTACTGGAAAAAACCATAGTTTTGACTATACAGACTGGTCGACCAGGTGATGTCTCTGCTTTTTAGCACTCTGTTCCGATTTGTCAAAGCTTTTCTTTCAAAGAGTAAGCGCCTTTTAATTTCATGGCTGCAGTTGCTGTCTGCAGTGATCTTTGAGCCCAAGAACAGAAAATCTGAACCTGCTTGTTTTTCTTCTCCCTCTACTTGCCAGGAAGTTGATGGGACCAGTTGCTGAGATCTTAGTTTTTTAGATGTTGAGCTTCAAGGCAGTTTTTACACTCTCTTCTTTCACCCTCATCAAGAGGCTTTTTAAGTCACCTTCACTTTCTGCCATCAAAGTGGTATCATCTGCATGTCTGAGATTGTTCATATTTCTCCTGGCATCCTTAATTCCAGCTTTTGATTCATCCAGACTGGCATTTCTTATGATGGACTCTGCATATAAGTTAAATAAATACATAAGGTGAAAACAGGTAGCCTCATCCTAATTCTTTTCCAAACTTAAACCATGTTTGGAATATGGAACAGCTGAGGAAACTGAGGCCCTGAGAAGTGAACTGGCAGTCAGCACCTGAGCAGGGATCTGAACCCACATTCTTTGACTCTGGGCATCCAGGTATCAAAGGGTGTAGAGCCTAGAGTCAGGAAGACTCATCTTCCTGAGTTCAAATCAAGTCTCAGACGCTTACTAGCTGTGTGATCCTGAGCAAGTCACTTCACCCTGTTTGCCTCAGTTTCCTTATCTGTCAGATGAGCTGGAGAAGGAAATGGCAAATGTACCTCTGCTAAGAAAACCCCAAATGGGGTCACAAAGAGTCAGGCATAGCTGAAATGACTAAACAACAGTCTCTGACTCCAGAATCAGCACTCTTTCTACTGTATTTTATTCCTTCATTAATCCATGTATGTCTATATGTCTTTATTCATTAATTACATATATAGATGATAATAGATAAAACTTTCAATTTATGGTATCACCTCCCTGGTGTCATGGTCCTCTTCTAGAACAAAGTACAAACAACCACTTCTGTGAGTAGAAAAGGAGCTGCCCATTGGAGACCAAACTGGAACTAGCCGGTTGGGCAACACAGCTTTCTTTTTTTTCTTTTTTTTTCTTTTTCTCTCTTTCTTTCTTTCTTTCTTTCTTTCTTTCTTTCTCTCTTTCTTTCTTTCTTTCTTTTTCTTTTTTCCTTTCTTTTCTTTCTTTCTCTTTCTCTCTCTCTCTCTCTCTCTCTCTCTCTCTCTCTCTCTCTCTCTCTCTCTCTCTCTCCCTCTCTCTCTCTCTCTTCTCTCTCTCTCTCTCTCTCTCTCTCTCTCTCTCTCTCTCTCTCTTTCTCTCTCCCTCCCCCTCTCAACAACAGGTCCCAGCCCAAGCCCTACTTGGTCCTTGTTTGGCTCAGAATGAATTAAATAGCAATTGTTTCTGTTTTGCCCAGAAACCCTGGGGTTCTTCCCCTGCCAGATCATTTTTTTAATAGGTAAAGGGGCCATTTTCTGCCTCATTTCTTACCTAGCCCTAATCACTAAATGGGTGTTGCCTCAGTCAAACTGAGATCTGTTAAAGTCTTTAGCTTGAAAAGGCCAAGGGCCCCCACTGCATTCTGGCCAATCTCCAGTTGTCCTGATCTGTTTCTGGCCACTGGACCCAGACAGCTCTGGAGGAGAAAGTGAGGCTAGTGACTTAGCACAGCCCTGCCTCACTTACATCCAATTCATCTGCATATCATAGCATTACCTTCTTGAAGGCATGGTCCTCTTCCAGAACAAAGCACAAACAATAACAACAATAGGCTTTGTTTCCCTTGATAGAATGCAAGCTCCTTGAACAGAGGGATTATTTCACTTTTTGTCTTTCCCTCCCCACCCCTCAATGCCTAGCCCAGTGCCTGCCACATAGTAGGCACTTCATAATTGCTTGTTGCACTGAATTGAACAGAGGGCTGGCATCTGGTGGGCTAAAGATGGGAAGTTCCCATTTGCTCTCCTTCAGCCAATGAAAACACCTTCAGGAAAAGCTCAGAAAATATCACTCCAGGAAAAACCCTGGAACAGCTGAACCGGAAGAAAGATGGGGTGCAGCAGTCCAGTAGCCCAGGTAGCTTGAGGGATTAGCAGGAAAGGACCCTCTTGTCCTGGGGGAGGAGGGCAGTACATAACTTGAGGCATCCCAGCAAGCTAGCAGAAAGTCCCACCTCAGCATACCAGGAGGAGATCCTGAAACCCAGGTCGTGGAGCAGGCAAACGCCAACACCTGGACCCCCATTGCCTCAGTAAGGGCGGGGGAAACCGGTGGAAACCAGGTTGGAAAACCACCAGGTACCTGGCATTCTACAACAACTGGCTCTCCAGTGCCTCAGCAAAACTGAGGGAAGCAGCCCTCCAAGGGGCCCAAGTGGATAAACTTCCTGCAACATCCAGCTGAAAGAAGCTGAAGAAAGCCAAAGGAAGGAAAGGCCTGGGTGCAGGAAATCTCCAGGGGCCACACTACCCAATCCTACCCCTAGAGTTCCAGTGTTGCTAATTCCAGCCCAACACCAGGTAAGCTGCCAGAACCCTACAGCCTCCAAATGCCAACATCAGAGGCCCCAGCACACAAAGCCAGTGACCAGGCCCTTGGCTCCCAACACAAGAAGCTTGGGTCAGTGCCTTCTGAACCAGAGGGTAAAATAGCCATAGAAAAAATCCACTGATCACCTCCTGAAAGAGCTCCCAAATTGAAAATGCCAAGGAATACAGTAGCCAAATTCCAAAATTACCAGGTCAAAGAGAAAATACTGCAAGCAGCCATAAAGAAACAATTTAAATATCATGGAGCCACAGTCACAATAACACAGGACCTTGAAGCCTCTACATTAGTGTAGGGTGTGGAATATAATATTCCATAAGGTAAAGAAGTTTGGATTATAGCCCAGGATCAACTACCCACTGAAAATGAGCATGATCTTTCAGGGCAGGAGATGGATATTCAATGAAATAGGGGACTTCCCAACCTTCCTGACAAAAAGACCAGAGCTCAACAGAAAATTTGATCTTCAAATACAAGACTCGAGAGAGATATAAAAAGGTAAACAGGACAGAAAGAAACAGCATGTTATTAATAAGGGCAAACTGTTTACATTCCTACAAAGAAAGATAATACTTGTAACCCTTGAGAATTGTATTGTTATTACACCATGTTAAAGGGCTATACATAGAGGGGGTTGACTTTGATAAGTTGACTTTGATGTAATGATAAAAAAAACTAATCAAGTGGGTTAAATAGATCCAAGTAAGTGGATTATTCTGATCTAACTAAGAAAATTAGTTAGATCAAGAAAAATTACTCAGAGAAAAGGAAAGGAGGAGGCAGATAAGGGTAAATTACACTACAAGAAAAGGCACAAAAACCTATTACAGCAGAGGGAAAGAAGGGAGGGAGATGAGCGTTGTTTGAACCTTACTCTCATCAGATTTGGCTCAAGAAGGGAATAACATAATCAGGTAAAGAAATCTAATTTGCCCTATAGGCAGTAGGAGGGAAAAGTGGAAAGAAAAGGGAGGGGAGATAGAAAGAAGGGAAGAAGTAGCAAGGGTAAAGGGGAAGAAAAGGGAGGGGGCTAATAGAAGGGAGGTGGGACTCTCATCAGATTTGGCTCAAGAAGGGAATAATAATCAGTTAGGTATTAATATTGATAGACTCAACCCTTCTCAGCAATACAAGGATCTAAGACATCTCCAAAGGCCTCATGATGGAAAATGCTATCCACCTTCAAAGAAAGAACTATGGAGTTTGAATGCAGATTGAAGCATACTATTTGCTATTTTTTTTCTTCTGTTGTGTTGTGTTTCCTCTTTCTGGTGGTTCCTCCTGTTGGTCCTAATTCTTACTTACAACATCACTAATATGAAAATATATTTAATAGAAATGTAATGTGTATAGCATTATCAGATTGCGCACCATCTTGAGGGGGGAGGTGGGGAAGGAGGGGGAGAAAAATTTAAAACTCAAAAGCTTATGGAAGTGATTGTTGATCAATCAAAATAAATTAATTTTTAAAAAGAGAAAAGAAAAAGAAAACACCTTCAACCAACCAGGAAGCCAAAATCTGAAAAGTATGCAAGGAGTTAACCCTCCCCCATCTCTGTAAGAGAATATAAAAGCTCCCTTTCTTTCTTTTTTTTTTCCCCACACCTCTCTTTACAAAGTCTTCCTGGACACTCCACCTCCTCTCCTCCACCTCCTCCCCAGTCTGCTCCTCCCTCGCTCCTTCCAGCCTGCCCAGAGTACAAGTTCTCTCACCTTCAGGATTCCAAAAACAACACCTGGTCTGCCTTGGTCAATGGTTAACACTTGACTGGCTTTATATAATCCTTCCCCGCCCAACGGACTCCTCTGTTCAGCACCGGCCAGCTCCCTCCGCCACCATGGTAAATTTGGGGCAGATCCTATGGGCTTATCGCAGGTATCTGATGGCCATCCTATTTCCAGTTGTGCTGCTGCCTCTGCCCTTGGTGGTCTCAGGCAAGGTAAAATGTTTTTTGGCTTCTGGAAGTGGGGCTAAGAGAGCTTGGGGAAGTCTGGGGCAGGCCAGCTGGAGTGGGCAGATCCACATGACATGAGTTAGTTCCCTGGTCTTTCCCCCAGCTGCAGGAGAAGGGGACATCTCTGGCTGCTGTCTCTCCTGACTTGGCTCCTCTTTTTCAACCTTGGCCCCAGACACACACAAACTACAGGAATCACCTGGTGGGTGTGTGTGTGTGTGTGTGTGTGTGTGTGTGTGTGTTGAGGAGGTTGAAGGAACCCTAACATCAAAGATCTATGGTTGAAAGAGACTTCAAAAACTACTCCCTCATTTTACAGATGAGGAAACCGAGGACCATAGATTCAGGGCTGGAAAGAGCCTCAAAGGCACTCAAATCCAATCCCTTCATTTTTTAAAAAATGATGGCAGAGAGCTTAAGTGACTTTCCAAGGGCCACACAGCTAGTGTCTGAAGCAGGATTTGAACCCAGTGCTAGCACTTTACCCACTGAACCAGCACACAGCCCAACTCGATCTTGCTTTGAGAAATATCATCCAATCCCATGAAAGGTGTTAGTCGTCATTCTTTTGTGGGATTGAGGGTTGGGGTGGGGGTGGGGGTAACATGGTCTCCTTTCTCCTCTTGCCCAGAAGATCTCAAAGTGTAAAGAAAGTGAAAAATCAAGGTTGGCTTTTGTAGTGAGATTCTGATGCCTGGGCTGACAACTAAAGTTGGGGTATCTTTAAGAGACCTGAACTAGGACACTTGAGCCTCCCAACAGTCCAGAAGGTACGAGGAGAGAGTTTTTAGGCTGGCTGACATAGTTAACAGATGGCATGTACCCTCAAGCAGAGAAATGCTAAGAGATAAGGATATCCTGACTCTGGTCCTCCCCTCCAAGAATTGGGAATACAGGAGTTCAGGACAGGGACTTCCACAGTAGAGTGAGGGACAACAGGGAATGAAGATGAAGAAACCAACATAGCCCAAGGAAACCTGTTTCTTGGGCTTTGTGGAATCTTGGCAGTGGGGGCAGGGTGGGGCATAGGCCTTCCCAGAGCTGGCTGAGCAACTCGTGGAGGCCAGTTATGGGACAGAGTGTTCTGGCACTAAAACCTCTGCTTCCCCCTCCCCCCAACCACTCAAAGACAGATAGGGGCAGGCTCCTGTCCTGCTTATCCTGGGAACAGCAATCTCTCTGCTTTCCAGGGATACCTCAAAATACTCAATAGTGCTGTTAGTATCCTCTTAGCAAAGATGAAGGAAGCAATTGTCCCACAGCCTCCCAGGAATAGGGTGGCATAAGTGTCCGGTTTCTGACAAGATCTAAAATCCAGCAGTGGCTGAGTCCGATTTCCTCTAAAATCAAGGGAGTCACACCCAGCACAAAATAGTATCTCTACATGGTGAGGTCTCTAACCTAAGACAGAGGCTGAAAGGAAAGGACCATCTTGACCTTTCTTGTTTTCATAGTCCCGTACGTCTGTACTGTGCCCCTTCTCTCTAACAACACCAAGGACCTGGGCAGGCAGGATGCTATATTCCATATAACAGATAAGGAAACTTAACTGTTAATCAGATAAACCAACCCCCAACCCCGAGCCCCTTCCTTTCCTCCAACATGCAGTACTGATGACTTCCTGGTTTGCAGTTACCTGTGAGATTGACTATCTCAGGGCCCTGCATCCTGCCCATGGAGGAGGATCACCTACTATTCCCCAAACCTGGTCTTTCTCCGTCCCTCCCTGGATCCCCTAGACTCTTCTTTCCCTAACCCCAATCACATATTCATTCATTCTTCATTCAAAAGTATCTATAGTTTTCAAGTGACAGGCATTCTGCTGGGCAGGAGGGATACAAAGATAGAACAGGGAGATAGCTCCTGCCCTCAAGCGGTTTGCATTCTACTTAGAACGAAACTGTATGTGGCAAATAAATAAATACAAAGCAAAAGTGGGGGAGGGGGAGAACATTGGGCGTTAGTAGAGTACACACATTCAGGAATGCTGGAGGACTGGTTAAGATGCACTCTTGGAGAGGAGTGGGTAGGCAGTGTGCCTGACACATAGGGTAATGATCCCGGGGAACCAATGGAGAAGCAATAAAGACAGAGTGAGTAGATCCAAGATCAAACATGGGCCTCCCTAGGCATGGAGTTCATCCAGTCTCACATCCAGCTATTCAAGAAGTAGTGTGATTGGTGTCCTAAGTCAGGAGACCTGGGTTCAAGTCCTGACTTGGCCATTCTGAACTTTCTAAAATAGGAGAAAAATATGGAGGTTATGAGGACTGAAAGAAATAATGGGGAGGAAGACTATGGATGCAAGTGGTTATTTCTGAATACAAAATATATTTAAGGTGAAAACCCAAATGGTGGGAACTTAAGATCTGTCAGCCAACAACTAAGGTGTACTAAGCACCACACGTCAGTACAGGAGATAAGGCAGGTTTGTGGTTGGGTTTCCTGTTGTTGTTGTTCAGTTTCAGCCATGTGCCACTCTTTGTGACCCTGTTTGGGCTTTTCTTGGCAAAGATACTGGAGTGGTTGGCCATTTCCATCTCCAGCTCATCTTACAGATGAGGAAACTGAGGCAAACAGGGTGAAGTGACTTGCCCAGGGTCACACTGCTAGCAAGTATCTGAGGCAGAATTTGAACTCAGATCTATCCTAACTGTAGTCCCAGCACCCGATCTACTGTGCCACCTAGCTGTACCACCATGTTTACAAACAACTTTAATATTAGGCCATTTATGATAAGCACCATAAAGGTACAAGTAAATGCTATAGAAATTCAGAGTGAGGAAAGATCAGAGGAATCAGAGACTGTTCACGTTAGATGAGACCTTCTAGGTCCTCATTTTACAAAAGGGGAAACTGAAGCCCAGAAAGGTGATGTGATTTGCTCAAAATCACATGCCCTGGTGTCTTCCTGCTAAATTATATTTCCTCCCTTCTGAATGGGGAGACCAAAGGAGCCTTCATGAAGAAGGGGCTATTTGTACTGGAACCTCCTTGAATTTCTACTGGTAGGAATGATGGTGGGGAAGGAGATTCCAGGTAGAGGGAACTATGTAAAAATGGTTTGGAGGGAGGAAAGCACAGGGTTCACAGCACTCCAGATCCTGGGTACATGGAGGGGAAGGGAAAAACTAAGGCCCAGAGCCTCAGTTTAGGTGCAGGATATGGACGAGAGTTTATTCATTAAACATTTATTAAGTACCTGCTGTGTGTACCTGCCAGATGCAAGGGTAGAAATAAAGTTTGGATAAAACATAGTTCATGCCCTCAGACTTAGTTTTCTCATCTGTAAAATGGGTATGAGGACCAAATGAAATCATATATGTGATATATTTTGAAAACCTTAAGATGCTATTTAAATATCTGCTGTAATTATTATTACTATAGTAAGAAAGTGGGCACTGGACCTCTGATTTCATTTGAAAAAATGAATTCCCAGGTGATAGAAGTCTCTCTACCGATGTAGGTAAGCACCCTTTCTGAAACTTAGCATCTTAGAGGTGCCTAATGTACTGAGAGGTTTAGTCGATTCCTTACCCAGGGTCACCCAACCAGGAAATGTCAGAAGCAAGAACCAAACCCTGCCCTTCCTGGTGTTAAGACCTGATCTTTCTTCACTTCACTTCACAGCTGTCTCTCACTGGGACACATACAAAGGTTGCCTTAATATGTAATATTTCGTTGGTGGCCAGCATAGGGAAAAAACTCAGGGCTCCTATTTCCCAACACAATGCTCTACAGCAGTGATTCTTAGACTTTTTGGTCTCAGGAACCCTCTATGCTCTTAAAAATTACTGGGGACCCCTCCCCAAAAGAACTTTTGTGTATGTGGGTCATATCAATCTATTTTTACTATATTAGAAATTTCAGTGTCTTGGTATTCTAAAAATAGCTTTGACCTCTCAGACTCCCCGAAAGAGTGCCAGGGACCCCAAGCGGTGCCTAAACCATACTTTGAGAACCATTGCTTTACAGAAACAGCCTGGGCAGGGCTGCCTCAGAGTGACAAACAGCCTCCTCACCAACTTGGAAGTCTCCTCGGTAGCTGCATTTTCTTGGCAACTCAGGAGGGTAATGTAGTGCCTTGTGACAGACTCTCACAGTCAGCCAAGTCCCTAATAGGTTCAGAGGCTTTAGACTTCAATGGGACCTTCCAGACCAGCTAATCCAAACCCTCTCATTTTGTAGCAGAGAAACAGATACTCAGAGAAAGGAAATAATTAATCCACAGTAAAACAGCCAGTTATCAGAACAGGTCACATTCAATGCCAGGTCCTCAAACTCCAGAGAGGGCCCCCTTTCTACTACATCCCTATATCCCCACTTGCTATGCCGACATTTCTATCAGAATTATTTAATAAATGAAGTTACCTTACAGAAGATTTTGTTGTAATTTAGTAACTCATTCCCCCTTAGCAAGGGTGTCTGAGACGGAGCAACCTTATACCAATGGATCAACATGCACTACATGCCAGGCACAGTGCCAGGCATGAATGAAATAATCTCTACTCATCACAAGCTCTTTATAGTCAATAGTTATATACCCAATTCCAGCATATTCTTCCTCGCCAACTAGTCTTCATTCAGTGGGCAGGGGAGCCCAAAACAAACGGAGTAGGCTGTTGGCATCCATGTCTACTGACCTCAAAGGTACGATTGTCCTTCCCCAGATACCATTCATATCCCTCTACTTTAACCAGACCAACCTCATTGCTCCAGCCACAGAAACACAGATCCAACCAAGGCCAAAATGCCTGGACAACAGGGACCGTGTTCAACATGGTCTACCTTCTCCTGGAGTGCCTGTATGGTACAGGCTGGTTAGTAGGAACAGAGTGGGTTACAGTCTTGAAGATCTCCACCATTTTCAGTCAGCCCCAAAGGAAGTGCTTTCCCAGTGATATTCCTTTGGGCGGGAAGATTCATTAGAATGGCTGCTCACTGGGGCCATGGGAGGTGCGTTTTCGAGTCCCACCCTGATGCTC